ACTCACAACAATACAGTGCTGTAAGAATTCCCAGTCAGGAATTTTCCTACTTCCTATGCAGGGTAATTGATATCTAGAAGCTATTTTGTAGCTATTAAAGTTTTTCCTTTCTGAAGACTTGTTTTTCTTCCCCCTTATTCACCTTATAGGCAATGCATCGCAACCTGCTCCCAAGAGGCAGACAGCTCCTCCAGCTCTCCCATCTTTTCCAGCTCCTTTAGCCCAAGCTCAAAGGCAGAAGCCTAAAACTGTCTCAGAACTGCTGAGAGAGAAGCGGCAGATGGAGAAGCAGCTAAAAGAGAAAGCTATGCAGACAAAAGTATTTGTTGCCCCGCAGATGATGCTTTCAGGGCCTTTGATAATCCAGCACCCACCACAGCAAATGATTCCTTCTGCACAAGTGGGGAGCAAACCTGGAGCAGTTGGCTCTACAGACAGCCAATTACAGCGTGTGCCAGCTCCCCTGTCAGCGTTTACTTCTGTTGCTGGTTCTGCTTCTACCCCTGTCGTGCTTGAAAACCGTTCTCCATCAGTGTCAAAAGTTGGGGAGAGCCCTAGTTCCTCACAAGAGACAAAAGTGCAATTCAATAAGGAACTAAATGAGCAAGCTCCACAAAATACCCCTGAAAGAGGAGTTTTTCCAAGCCTGAATCCAGCTGCAGCAGGAAAGGCCCCAAATCAAGGAGTGTGCAATGGTCAGGTCCTAGCTGGTAGCTCAGCTCCGGTAGTGTTGCAAAATCAGGCTTTTGTGCCACATCGAGTTACGGTGGTGCCTTTTGGCATAGAGTCTGGCAACAGCAAACTGTCTCTTCCCCCACCAGTTACCTATGAACTGAATCGTCCTGGGCCAGTCAATCTATTGCCTGCTCTTTTAGCTCCACAGCCTGGCTCCCATTTGACTCCTGACAGCGTGCTGCCTCTCACGTGGATTGTAACACAGCAGGCTTTGCTCTCCAGTGCTGTGCAGGCTGTTGTGGGTGTTCCCCAAAGTCTGCAAGCTGCTATTGTGAGGAGTCAAAGTCAGGCCAGTGTGACATCCAGTGGCAATGTCTGTGGTTTAGGAGCGCCCCTTGTATCCTCTGGAGTAAATATGCCTCACCCAAGCCATGCAGAGACAAAAACAAATCCCCAGTTAGCTTCAGGGAGCCCAGCAGGAAAGACAGCTGATGTAAGCCATTCTGCAAGTGTCTTCCCCGTGAGCTCAGCCAATCCTGTGTGCAGCATATCTGGTGTTTCTTCTGCTCTATCTGCACATTCAGATAGTTCCTCTAAGACTGTTGATTCTTCTGCAGCTCAGAATGCTCTTCCAGGTGGTGCACCAACCCCACATGCTCATCTGCTGCCCCAGATGCAGCTACCTGCATCTCAGGGGTCTGATTCCCACAGTGTGACGGGAGACGTTGGCTTGGGAGAGAGCCAGGACTCATCTACAACAAATGGATCATCTTCCAACTCGAATGTCCTTAATGAAGGGGAGCCAGGAGCTTCAATTCCTCATGACAGTGTTGCAGGGAATTCTGAAGGCTCAGCTGACCAGGCACTGAAATACAGACCTATTGCCTCCAAAGCACCCCCTGCACAGGCTGCGAGTGCTCCACCCCAGCCAACCACTTCCAGTGCAGAAAAGACTCTTCTTGACTATAGCCTGATTTCCCTTGAAGATGAGGAGCTGGTGAAGGAGTGGCTGAGTGGGAAGCAAGGCGTCCAGGTACCACCACTGCAAACCAGGTTGCCCTATTTCCCACCTTTTTTGTGCAACTTAAAAACTCTTTCAAAGCTACTTCTGCAGAAGGCAGCTCTGGAAAAACAAGCAGCACGTCTTCTGTCCCCTGATGGCAGTCAGACTGAGGATGAGGTTGACTTGAATGCTATCACAGAACTGGTGCATGAGAAACTGGGTGATGACCCTGCCTTTCTGCTGCTGAAAGCCCGCTTTCTAGCAGCCTTTACGCTCCCTGCTGTACTAGCAACTCTGCCTCCTCCAAAAGTGGCAACAACTCTGTCAGCCAGCAGGAGGGAATACGGAGAGAGTGATGAAGAGGAGTGGCAGAGTGAGGAGGCAGCGTCTGAGAATGAGAGCTGTGGGGATGAATTAGATGCACAGTCGGATGGGACAGGTGATGAAGAGCCTGGAGACCAAGATGCTGATTCTCCAAATAAGGTAAAGGAAAGCTGAAGTCTCCCTTGTGGTAGATGCGGCCTCTCTAGCAAAGAGTTATGTCCAGGCAAAGAGAAACCACATCATGTGTGTTCTGGCTGGAGAAAAGTGACAGAATCATACTCTGTAGGAAGAAGTGCTGGTGTTGGCTGAAAATTGTATGTGTTTGGGATGTTTTGTTTGCTAGGATTGTGATAATAGAATTGCGTTGCATCCCAGGCTTAATTTTGAGTGTAGTTTTGAGTACAATGGAGTATTGTTTCAAATCTTGCGGTGCTAACTAAAATAAAAAGATGACTGAAAGGAGGGTTTTCTTGCAAATCCTCCTGGGTTTTGTGCTGCTGTGCAAATAGTCTGTTCCCCCTATGTTGCAGGACATGGAAACTGAAGAGATTGCTGCACAATCCATCCTGGGCACCTGCACTGATGGGACTGCCAGTGTTCCTCAAATCAGGAGAAGTCTGCGCATCAGGAAAAGGTTCAGGAAAAGGAGGAGGGTGTGAGGAGGTAATGTCAGTAGCTGTTCTGTGAATCTTGCATTTTTGAAGAGAGAACCTGAAATACTTTTGCCTGTGGTACAGCCCAAAGAATGAATCATGACCATAGGAGAAGATTGAAATGGTTTTGACTTCCGTTCCTTTAGGACACAGAGTCTTGCCCTGTTAATCATACATTAAGAGTAATACAGTGATGTTGAAGAGGAGGGGAAGTTGGTGTTTACATTATAAAATTACCTATAAAGCTATGAGGTTTAAGTATTTGGCAGCCTTTTAGACCCTGCTGCTGCCTATTAGTATTATAGATTGGTATAATGAAGCCCTGGATGGTTTCCTTTCTGGGCAGCTTCTCAGGTGTACAAGTGCAGCGTCTGAATGTGTTGAGGCCTGTAGTAGTGAAATGGACCAAATGAGCATGAATGCCATTTGATTTGCCTGCTTGCTGAATTAGATTCTGTTTTTATTTTGTTTTCTCCTTTAAAACTGGTCTTAGAAACTCAAAAATGTTTGCTTCCCTATTTAAAAGTCCTGCAACTAAAAGCTGTTTGTTCTGTGTTACAGGAGCCACTTGAAGGATGTCTGACCTGCAGCATGACAGCAGGAGATGCTCTTTGCACTGTTCACTTCTCACACTTGCAACAAGCTGACCAAGCAGAGCTGGGGAGGAGAGGGAAACATCTGGGCTGATTTCCCCATCACCAAAAAAAGTCTGCTCATTTAGACAAGCTGCAAGTAACGAAACAAAACTGCTGGAGGGATGTCTTTTAGGCACAGAGCAATTCTGTTCTCTTTCAGCCTAGCATTTGCCACGAGTGCTGTGGTGTAACAATTGTTGGGGACCTGGGGAAGCCAGCAATGATAGTTATTTCCTTGTTGTGCTCCCCCCTATTTATGTGAATGTTTATCTGTGTTCAGAATATGTGGTTCATTGAATGTTTTTTTTAATGCTGTAATGATGTTTTGTTTGACAGCTGACTGAATGCTGCTCAGTAAGAAGCAGGTTAATATTTTATCAAATGAGTCTCGAGTACTGGTTGAAATACAGATGTTTATTTTTCTCATTTAAACTATTTATGCCTTCTGTGTTTTTTAATGGTAAATACTGCTTGTAGTAATATGTGGATGAGTGTGATTGCTAACGAGAGAAACAAAGCTTGCAAGCTACATGAAAGCAAGCCAGAGAGAATGTGGGAAATGAACATGCAGTTAGCTACAAAGGCAGAACTGAACCAGGTTTGATTCTTTCCTAACTCTTCCACAGCCTTCCCATACAGCCATCAGCAAATCACTTAATAGAAGCTTGTTTCCTCATTCACAAAACAGCAATTTGTTTTACAGAGAGGTGTAAGGCTAGCTGAGTCAAAGCTGGTAGAAATCAGTGAGTGCTGCAGAAAGCTTCACCCCCACTGCGTTCCCAACATCCCCAGTCACGGCAGTACATTTGGTGTGCTGTGAAATGCAGCTTTTGTGAGGCCCCTTTAGGCAGAGCTGCAACAGAGGGGCAGTGGGACATTAAAATCACTCTAATTGGATACTAAGCAATTAGCGTAACAGGAGGAAGTACCTTGAAGTGGCTTCCCTCTTGCAGTGTGCTCTATCTTCCACAAACTGCTGTAGCTAATGCTTTTTTCCGAGAAGTGCACCCAGCAGAAGCTCTGCCCACTGTTCTGTGTGCCATTCACTGCAGGACTGGTACTGTCGGGTGCTGGTGGTACGTGTGATCTGTGCTGGATTTGTCCTCTGAAGTAAGTTGTATGGACCTGTGCCTGTGATTTTTCACTCTTGATCTACACAAAGAAGCTTTCCTGACTGTAGCTGGTACTTCAGTGGTAAAGATTGGACAACCAGGGCGTGGTGAGTGTAAGATAAGCAATGCTGGTGATTTGGAGCGTCATCAGCTTTCATCCTCCTCCCCCATCATCCCTTCTGACTTCCTATTTTCTTCTTCTCTCTCTTTCTTATTTCAGAGGGTAGCTGAGTAGTTTCCTCTTTTCTCACAGATTGGCTCCTGGGATGACCTGCTCTCCCATAGTATAAAGGAAGGCTGCAGCCCAGGCAGGTTTCTGGAGAGACAGGGCCTGAATGAATGTTCTCAGACCAGGAGAAGAGGAGTGAAGGCTTTTGTCTGTACAGGCCAGGTTGGTCCACATCATGCAGAATGATTTATCTTGACGGATTTTTTTGTTGTTACAGTTCTGAGGGGAGGGTGTGCTTCTCATCAACAGGGGAATGCTTTTCTGCTCATGATCTGCTGGGATTACTTTGATGTCAGGCAGAGCAAGGTGGGCTTTTTGTTTTTTTTTCTCCATGATAATTACTGACCTATTAGTCCCGTATCAGTCCAGCTCACTTTTGGAGTCCTGTTCCATGAAGGAACAGAGAAATGAGTGCTTGGAGAGATGCAGTAAGATCTGTGTGAAATCTCAGCCCCTGCATAGTCAGAACTCTTCCCCTTCTGCTCCCAGTCATACAAAACAGCTGAAAACATGAACGCTGAGGTTGCTGCCAGATACTGGAAGTGACACAGCTACTGCAGCCAGTTCATACCTGCGACATGAGCATAGTAATTAATGAGCAGGATTTCAGGAGATGCTCATTGTGGAATTGTCTTACCACACAGGGGTAAAGAGGTAAAAATAATGCCAGTTTCTTGTTTGAATTGATAAAACTGACTTTAGATAGAAGTCTGGACACAGAAATGTTGGGTTTCCTGCTTTTGTTCACCTGCCTGTGTCCTACCTGGGGAGGAGCAGTAGCTGAAGCTGTGCTGAGGCTGTACGGATGAGATCTGTGAGGTGGCCGTGAGAGGCAGCAGAACTTGTGGAATTAAATTCAAGACTGTGTACTTCATTTCAACACCACTACCCACGCTTTCCCCTGAGGCTTAGAGTCTGCTTTTTTTCTTGTTTCCTGTCTTTATGTTTTAAGGAAGGGCGAAGCAGCTCACTGACACTTCTCACTCACCACCATGCTGGAAGAAGATAACGATGAGACATGTTGGAACAGCCTGGAAAACTTTCGGGTGAAGCTGATCTCTGTGATAGATCCTTCCCGTATAACACCTTATCTTCGCCAGTGCCAGGTGATAAACCATGATGATGAGGAACAAGTTCTCAATGACCCCAGCCTGGTCATGCGCAAACGCAAAGCAGGTGGGTGAAACGCAGCCTTGGCTCTTCCAACTCTGACCACAGAAACACTGGGGAGATTGGAGCAATTCTTTGTTCTGTTAGAAATGGGTAGAGAGAGAAATAAATGAGTGGAACCGTTGCTGTTGTTTCAGGTGTTCTTCTGGACATTCTTCAGCGAACAGGGCGCAAGGGCTTTGAGGCATTCATGGAGAGTCTCGAGCTTTATTATCCACAACTGTATAAGAAAATAACTGGGAAGGAGCCAAGCAGGGTTTTCTCTCTGATTATAGGTAACGTTTGAGTTCTGAAATGAAACTTTTTAGTGATAAGTGGGTGGAAGTCTGGTGTGTGCACGTGTGTGTGTTTCTGGGAGCAGACAGGACAGCAGTTGCTGATATTTGCCCACCCAACAGACACGGCTGGGGAGTCTGGCCTGAGCCAGCTCCTGATGAATGAGATTACAAAGCTGCAGAGAACGGTGCAGGAGGAGCGGCAGAAGGCCCAGGAGCTCACCGTGTGGCTGCACACCAAAGAGGACATGATCAGAGAGATGTGGGTGAGGGACAGCCTGCTCCGCAAGCACCAAGAGCGGGTGCAGAAGATGAAGGAGGAGAGGGACAGTCTGAGTAAGGAGCTGCGGAAGTGCAAGGATGAGAACTACAGCCTGGCAATGAGCTATGCCAGACAGAGCGAGGAGAAGAGCAGTGCCCTCATGAAGAACAGGGACCTGCTCCTAGAGGTGAGTGACCCCGTTCTTAAGCTTCCTTCTTTACTTGATCCCCGAAGGGCTGAGCTGTGCATCAGATGTGTCTTTGCCTGGGTGGCGTGGCCTAGTCTGTTATGAGGTTTTGTGCATATTCCTTGGCAGGTGGTATGTCGTAGTGGTCCCTGGCTCAGCCCTGTAGGCCCCAGTATTACAAGCTGTGCTCTGAAGAATTAAGTCTTCCCCTTGTTTGAGACTTGGCCTTCTCACAGGGGCAGTGCAGAACCAGCATGTTGTACCCAGTTAGCACAAAGGCAAGTCTCAGCTCCCCAGTACACCAAACTTCCTCAGGAAGATAGAATTGGGGTATAGCTTGCACCATGCTTGGCTGAGGAATGGGGAAGTCTGCCATGAGAGAACTGCTTTTGCAACCAGACTTTTTTGTCTGTTACTGATGAGCTCTGAACTGCCTTGTAGATTGATAGCTTGAAGCATAGCCTCATGAAGGCTGAGGACGACTGCAAACTAGAGCGTAAGCACTCGATGAAACTGAAGCATGCCATAGAGCAACGTCCGAGCCATGAAGTGATGTGGGAGATCCAGCAGGAGAAGGAGTTGCTTTTGGCCAAGAATCAGGAGCTGGAGAACACTCTCCAGGTTGGTGAGGTGACCGGGTGAGGAATCTTCAGAAGTGATTATGTTTTGCAGCCAGCACAGCCATGGGGCTGTACTGAATATTTTGTGGGTCAACTATGGCCTCGTTCTCCCAAGTCACACAGAGAGCATGTCGGACTTTGGAGTTAGATGGCTGCTGTATCTCACATTCTTCTTTGTCCAGCAGGTTGCCAGGGAACAGAATTTGGAGAAGAGTCACTCTTGTGAGACCGTGCAGAAAGACTGCAGCCAGATACTGGAGCGCAGGGACCTGCTGAACACCATATACCACCTTCGCAAGGAGCTGCGCCAAGCCGAGGTGCTCCAAGACAAAGTGTGTGGTGCAGTACAAATCCCTGCTGGGGGTCAGTGGGGTGAGATGGGCAGATTAAGCACTTAAAATGTCTTGCCAGTGAAGCAGCAGAGCTGCTCAGCAGCAGTCCCTGCTACTTCTACTCTAGGGTTTATGTTGCAGTTTGAGGAAAAAGGCATGTTAATATCTTAGAGGTCTGTGATGTTAACTGTGTTAATTGTTGATGCTCGTGCCTCAGCCTGCAGGGTGATGGGAGCTTTTATTGTGATTGGCAGCTCAGGTACGTGTAAATCTGATGTTAGTAGGCTTTTTAGTCATACTGCCTGGTCTTCTGGTTGGCTTTGCTCGAAAAGGGCAGTCTGAGTTTCATGTTGCAGGGAAGTCTGGCTGTAGCAATCTGTGGTATAGAGCAGAAGTGGTGAGATACCAGCATGGGCTCACCCCACAAGCCATGTCTCAACAGTATGCAGAGGAAAAAGAGATACTTGAACTACAGTGCACATCTCTGAGGAAGGACTCCCAGATGTATAAAAAACGGATGGAAGCTGTCTTACAGCAGATGGAGGAAGTGGCTTCAGAAAGAGATCAGGTGATAAAACGTTCCTCTAGAAGCCACTGCTAATCCCTGGCTTGATGCTTGAAGTGGGCAGATATCATAACCCTGAATGTGGTGCTGTGTGGTGTGTTGCCTCTTACACCAGGCACTGCTGACCAGAGAACAGTTCTACACACAGTACTCCAAGAACCTGATTGAGAGGGACGCCTATCGGAAGCAGATCCGGGAGCTGGGGGAGCGATGCGATGAGCTGCAGCTGCAGCTCTTCCAAAAGGAGAGTCAGCTACTGGCTACTGAAGCCAAACTGAAAAGGCTACAACTGAAGCTACCTGCACCGGTATGCCTGTGGGGGTTGTCACGTGTATGATGAGTTGAAAAGTTGAGTCTAGGACCCAAATAAAACTGTTTTGAGACCCTGAGACCTAACCAGTCCGATTTCAGCAAGCAGTGGCCACCTGCTTGGGTAACCATTTCTGTGCACGTGCTGATTAGAAAAAAGGAAGACATGATGGTTTTTATGAGCTCACCCTGGTTTGCTGAAGCCTTACATGTTTGGCGTGCTTCCAGAGATCATTGGCATTTTGTTGCCTACTAGAGTGATCTCTAGAGCCTGTACAAGCCATTTGGGTGAAACAGGAGCAGGGTATGAGAGTTCATGGAATTAAATTAGACATCTGAGGACTTTTACTTATTGTGGCATCTTATGTACTTTCTCCAAATGGTCAGATGAGTGTAGGAGGAAGGAAGTCCACGTTTCTGTTTTCTGGATCTTTTGGTCTCCTGTATATTCCATTACTGCCATTTACTTGCTCATGAGGAATGATGAACTTACTGGTTTTATTTCAGACTGACCTGGATGACACCTCCTCCAGAGATTCCCAGGATGTGAGTAGGGTGCCTTGTTTACTTTTTATTTTCTCCTGGGATGGTTTGAAATTCCTCAGTTGTGCTCAATTCCCAAAGTAACAGCAGTCTGCGCTCCGTGGTTCAGGCTCATGGCAGTGACATCAGGTCCAAAGGTAGCAAAGCAGGCTAATGGCTAAGGGTAGCTTCTCCTTGTGTCCTGAGACTTCTGAGCACCTGGGGATGCACCTGTGATAAGATTTGTTGAGTCCAAGCAGACCAGAAGATTCAAATTATTTTGCATTGCTTCTAATGTCTCTCTTGTGAGAGAATGGGCAAAAATAAGGATTATCTTGTGTAGAAAAAAACCAAAACCTTTACTTCAACTTCGTTCATAACTTTAATTGTAGTAGAGGTTGTCACATTGTCTGGAGTCAAAATGTATGTATGTATGCTGTAGTCATGGAGGGTAAGTCTGTGTGTAGGTATGCAGCTTCTAGTTCAGTATGTTTCCTGTTTTGCTTACAGCAAGATACAGTGGGGAAAGGTTGGTTACACAGCTGTGTTCCTGCATTTGTTCCTAGCTACTGTCTGAGAAAGAATAAGGAGTACTTCTCATGATCTTAATTTGTTTGTGTCCCAATAGCTTACTCTTCATGGTCATCTAGATGAAGATGCACACCTGACTAAAAGTAAGGCTTTTATGGGGGAAAATGTACAGTACAGTTCTTGATGGGGTTGCCCAGTGTTCAGAGGACAGGAATAGACATGCTTTTTATTTTAGTGCAGAAGAGGCACACTGACTGATGAGGACTCAGTTTGTGAGTGATGCTTCTCAGTGGGGCATGCTTGGCACCTCCTTGAGGTGACTCAGAACAGCTGCATGTAAATCAAGGCTTCTTGAACCCTGAGACATTCTGCTCTCCTTCTCTCCTATGAAAAAGGAGAACGTGTTCCCGGCAGCTGGGAACAGTGAATGCTTGTACAGCTTTTTGGAGGGAAAAATCTCCACGTGTAATTTACTTTGTGGTCAAAAGATGACTTTTTTCAGTCATCCGCCTTCTGAATTTGTCTAGCAAAAATCAGCTGGGTACACAGTGCCTTTGAGAAACAGCTCCTATTGTGTTTGTGGCTGAGCTGAGAATGGAACAAGCGTCCTTCCACTCCAGCTGAACCATGTGTCTTTCTCCAGAGACATTTATTTCCTCTCCTTTGCATTGCAGGCTATTTTCACAAAAGCAGAACCATGTAATTAATACTGTCACTGGCTCTGCAGTCCCAGTGGAAATGATTCAGCAGTGCAGAGAAGAATAAACAGGGTCCTTAAAACTTGAGATTTGCTTTTGAAACATGTTGCAAAAGGAACGAAACAAGCAAAGGTCCTCTCCTGAAAGATTTAAGTAATCATTCATTGAGATGGGACATTTTTTCAGAAGCTACTACATTGAAACAGAAAGCCTTTTCTTGCTCTACCTCACTCAAATCAAAATTACATACCACATTATCTGATGACTGCATTAGGAGCTTTGCTAAAATACGATCTGTTGAGTATCTTGATGTGCACATCTTAGCTGCTGGGGAACAGGGATAAATTGTGATTAATGTTCAGTTGTTTAGTGTGATTTTTTTTTTTTATTGTTCTCTCCAATATTATTCTTTTAGTGACGTTAGACAGAGGTGCTGCTCTGCACTGGTTCATTTTGCTCCTCCACAAGCAGAAATTAGACAGATGGTGTCTCTGGTGATCCTGTGGGGAATTCCATCACCCTAAGCAAGACTCAGAGGTCAAGTAAAATGAGCAGGGTCTTGTGCAATGATCACAAGATTGAATACTGAATGTTTTGAGGCCTGGGTTCAGCTTGTTGTTGATGCTGTGTACTGTTGGGCAGCTCTTACACTATACACCTATTGCTGTTTGGTGAACTGGTGGAAGGAGATGTTACTTCAACATGCAACTATGACTGAAACTGTGATTTGTTTTTTTATTTTCCTTTAGAAGACTGCTGTAAAGGACAAAACCAGCAATTCAGCATTCGAGAAAGCAATGTGCCTGCAGAGTCACCCACAGTAAGAGCCCACAACGATTCTCTTTAGTCTGATGGGGTTTGTAATTTTTCATGTTCTTGTTAATGATGGATTTACCAGGAATGAGGGGCATGGAGGCAGCTGCTGCTTTTCCGGAAAGCATTCTGTGCAAAATCTACCCTCCAAAAGAGTGAACTGAACAGCAGAGCACTCGTCTGCTGGGTATTTCTCAACCTTTGCTTAGAAACTTCTAATTATTTCTGGCCTTTTTCTCTGGATGTGGACATTTTTCAGTTTGTCTGCAAGTACCACTGTTGATACAGGAAACAGAATTTCAAATTTGGAACTGAAAAAGAATAGTAAGCATGGTAAAAATGTGTTTGCATCCTGGACACAACAGCAGACAGCCCAGGGATGAGCATGCTGTACTGCAGGCCCAAGCAGATAGAAAGGCTGGAGTACTTCCCAAGGGATGGGCTGTGGTAGCAACCAGCTCTTCTTTGTCATTTTAAGGCTTTCCCTTTTCTCCCCTTCATTTCCAAGTGAAATGATTTGGGGTGCAAACAAGTCCAAGAGGGCCTCATCAGGTAGAGCACCTCAGCCTTAAACGGGGTCATCATTACACAGCAGCTGTGCCCAATGTGATAAAAACGTCGATCCAAGCTTCAGAGAGCCCTCGTTCATCTCTTTGCCTTTTATTTTTTTTCCAGTTCGAGGAGTGCAGCTCAGCCCATGAGGAGCTGTCAGAGAAGGAGCGGAGGAGGATGAAGGACTGCTTTGAGCGGTACCGCAGGTCAGGCCCCATCCTACAGCTCTCCCCCCCCACGCTCGGTTCCATCAGGGCTCAGTTTCACACAGTCCCATTTCCAGGAAGCGTGCCCTGCGCAGGGTGCCTGGCAGCTGCCCCGAGGCCGACTGGGAGCCCAGCACAGGCAGCGACAACACGGACACTGAGGGCAGCTAGGGGCCGGCCTGGGCTCCAGTTTGCATCTGGACAGCGTTTCAGATCCCTCAATAAACAGCACAGTGTTTGGTTATTAATGGTTCTGCGTCCAGATGGAGACTGGTAATGAGGGGTGTCCCCCAGGGGTCTGGCTTGGGACCGGTGCTTTTTAATGTCTTTATGAATGATAGAATTGAGTTCACCCTCAGTGAGTTTGCTGATGACACCAAGCTGAGTGCTGCGGTTGACACGGTGGAAGGAAGGGATGCCATTCAGAGGGACTTGAAAGGTGGACACAGGTGAACCTAATGAAGTTCAACACAGAAAAGTGCAGGGTTTTGCACTTGGGCCGGAGGAATCCCAGGCATCCGTACAGACTGGAAGGAGTGGGCCTTGAGAGCAGCCCTGTGGAGAAGGACCTGGGGCTCCTGATGGATGAAAAGCTTAACATGAGCCAGCAGTGTGCCCTTGTGGCTCGGAAGGCAAATGGGAT